ATAATAATAATAATAATAATAATAATAATAATAATAATAATAATAATAATACAGACCACAATCTTTTGTGGTCATCTAAGAGAAGGAAATATTTGGAGTTCAGGGTTGAATAGGCGGGGTCATTGGTGCCCTCTGAGCTTGACTATTTTCTTGCAGACATTTTATTACCAAAGTAGGTAACATAATCCATGTTAGAAAGGAGTGGGGATTGAGGAGAGGAGGAGGAGGAAAGAGGAGAGGGTCGCCTTGGTGGGTTTTCTTACAGACGTTTCATGACCCAACTAGGGAATATCATCAGTGTTATTAGGGAACAGGGTTTGATCTCCTCTTCAAGAAATTAAACTCAAGTTGATTGTTTCCACTTTTTCACTCGGGATAAAATGCCCTCCTGCCAGTTTCCACCACAATCGCCACCACCTCTCAGGAAAGGGGAGAAGAACGGAGCGTCAAAGAATAGATCCCACCACCCGCCCACCCCGTTGCAAAGGAGGGCTGTTGAGGCCGCTTATACCGTTAGAAAACAGGCGCTTTGTTTAAGCTCACGAAGTGGCCTAGGAGGCCTGGATGCCGGTCATTGGACTCTTCGTTTCCCTTGTCCCAGTGATTATCCGGGAGGGTGCCCTGCCCAATTGGGTACGGTCTGCGCTTGAGAAGGAAATGTGCTGTTGTCCCCCCCCCCTTATTTACTTTATTACAGTGATTTATATCCTGCCATTTCTCGTGGGGGTGGGGTGGAAAAAAAACCCAACGCTTTCCAGTTAGCCCGGCCCGTCTTAGAAAATCTATCAACAGATGCCCTTAACCTTTGGGTAAATCAGGTTAACAGTCTTCTTGGAGGGGTTGAAAAAGGAGAGAGGAGAAGATCAGGCTGGTCTATTAGCCTTCCCGAAAATGGGAAGTTAGCAGACCTTGGATAACAAACCCAATGTAGTAGAAATAATACTCCTGAAATAGGCCTGTCTCTGTTCCGCCCAGCTCCATCTTGACCCCTAAGCTTTCCTAACTCTTTTTTTCCCCGAGTTTCCCCACCTGTAAAATGGGAGTGTCCTACCCTTGCCTTGGCCCAAGAGGGTTACCCAAATCTGCCGTCCTCTTCCCTGGGATTCTCGATTTGATGTCTTGATGGATAGTAGATTAGTCATCGTTTAACGGCAAATCAATCATGAATTGCATAGGAGATTGACCAGGGATTGTTCATCGCTTCATGCTCGGCCCTGGATAAAGTAAGTCCTTGGCTCGTGACTGCAATTGAGCCCAAAATCTTGATTCTGTCCCTCTGTTTAAGCAAGGGGTTGGGCTAGACCTCTGAGGCCCCTTCCAACTCTCACTCAGTTACTGTTCAAAGCTTCATGCCTTCCGAGACGTCTCTTTCCTGTCAAAAGCAGCTTTTCCACGGTCCTCTTCACTTGGGTCCCTCCTCCTTCTTCCTCTTCTCCTCCTCCTCCTCCTCCTCCCTCTTCCTATCTTCCTCCTATCACCTTTTTATCTCCTTCTCCTTCTCCTCATATGTACCTACACTTTCAATGGAATCTATCTGTATCTATCTGTCTGTCTGTCTGTCTGTCTATCTATCTATCTATCTATCTATCTATCTATCTTATCTGTCTTTCTTTCCTTCTTCTTCTTCTTCTTCTTCTTCTTCTTCTTCTTCTTCTTCTTCTTCTTCTTCTTCTTCTTCTTCTTCTTCTTCTTCTTCTTCTTCTTCTTCTTCTTCTCCTTCTCCTTCTCCTCCTCCTCCTCCTCCTCCTCCTCCTCCTCCTCCTCCTCCTCCTCCTC